TGTGTCTTGTGGATTTTTAAATACAGAAGTGAAATGTTGTTTTGGATATAATTAACAATAAAAATAGTTTAAGTGAAAGTATGCAGGTGTTTTTTTTCAAGGAGGCCACTCATTTGACCTCAGCTGCATTTATTCTTGGGACAATGTGCGAGAATATAATGTACTAAATGTGTGCAAAGGAATGTAAATTAGGGCTGCCTTGTTTTTGATTGATCTCCAAAACTTGTGAAAAATGGCCATCACAATTTCCTTGTGTCCGATGTGGCTTAAAATTTCTTGATTTGTACGAACAATGGCCCAAATTTCTAAGTAATTCAGATGATGAACACAACAGAGAAATAAAATAAAACACCCTCATCATTAATAATGTGGGATAAGTTTTTTTTCCAACACATTTGCTTGAAAATGACAGTGGATTATCAAAGTAGTTGCAGATTAATTTTCTGTCAGTCAACTAATCATTTACACTTAAACGTGATCATTATTTGAATGTAGATATTCACTCATACAGTTCATTTAACCACAAGAATCTTTATTATGTTTGTATGTGAATTCCAGAGTACAAATATTTTGCTTTTTAAAAATGAAAACATAAATCAAAAACACAGTAGAAAAAAAAAAGGTTATCATATCAACCTGAGAGAGGAACAAAAAGTCAAAACATTACCTGGACATAATAACGTGGCTGAAAATCAAAATATGATCACCATAGGTCTGCTACATATATGCCGCTTGTGTTCTGCCAAAAATGCAGTGTCATCATAGCACAATGACGTTTCTAATTGACGACCAGAATCAAACTTTTGTATTTTGATACATTAAACACTAACAGTAGAAATACACCATTATTGTAAAAAAAAAAGAAAATTCACTACTTTTACAACAAATCCCTATTAAAAAAAAATCAGAAGACCCAATATATCAACGTGTATGTCCGCCTGAAGATGAAAATGTCTTAACCTTAATGCTATTTCCTATTCTCATGTCACACACTATTCTCGGCTTGCAAAAACACCTTATGCATGGAGACAACAAGCATTCCTGTGAGCTAGCTAGTTAGAAGTGTCATTGTGATTCAAAGTTTCAAACATACATGAAGACATCTCTAAGGAAACTGCTACTAGTAGCACCAAAGAAGACATGATCAAACATTTTACGGTTATCACAATCATATGATATATGTATAGGACCTCAAACCAAACTACTAACTAAGTATAGAGGAAGGAAAGGGCTGGAAAGAGTGGTGACGGGACAAGAGGACAGCATATAACAAATCAGAAAACATTTTAAGCGCGTTCCCCACGGATACGACGTGCCAGCTGGATGTCTTTGGGCATGATAGTGACACGCTTGGCGTGGATGGCGCACAGGTTGGTGTCCTCAAACAGACCCACCAGGTAGGCCTCGCTGGCCTCCTGCAGAGGGCAGAGACAGAACAGTGATTTTTAGTGGGAATGAAGGAACATGGTTTACGTTTAACCCTTTGAAACCTGGAGTAATATCACTTTTGTCGTGCTGCTCTCAGACACTTTTTGCAAATATTTAAACTATATTTAAAATTGGTCACTATCTTTCAAAAGCATGGGAGAAAAGGAAATGAGGAACTTGATGAGAAATGTTCCAAAAATTCCAAAAAAAATGTAGATTCAGAAAAATCAGTAAAAAAAATAGGGAAAATAAAGAGATAGGGAAAACTGTATTTATGTTTAATATTCTTATATTCTAAAAATATGTAACATCGTTATTTTTCTGTTTTTATAGTTGTTTTTAAACAAATTTTTACTTTTTTTATTTACTTATTTTTACAAATTTTCTTGCTTTTTTTTTTTTTTTTTTTTTTTTTTT